GTGTGCACAGTTGTTAGCACTCATGTATGAGTGACAACAGGTGATATTTCATGCTTGTCATTTCACTTCCAGTGTCCCCGTGTGCACAGTTGTTAACACCCATTCATGAGCCACAACACCTGAAATTTGTTTTTTTGCGCCTGACTCGTTTCAGCTAAGATAATGACCTCCAGTTTCATCCATGCTGTTATAAAAGTACATGATTTCCTTCTTTTTTAATGACTGAATAATAGTCCATTGTGTGTATATACCACATTTTCTTTCTTTATCCAATGATGGGCACTTAGATTGATTCCCCATCTTTGCTGTTGTGAATAGTGCTGAAGTAAACATACTCATTGTTTTAATATAATAATTTCTTTTTCATGGGGTAGATACCCAATAGTGGGATTGCTGGATTGAATATAGTAGTTATATTTGATTCTTTGAGAAAGCCTCATACTATTTTCTGTAGCGGTTGTACTAATTTACATACTTTTCCCCACATCCTTGCCAATATCTGTTAGTTTTTGACTTTTTAGTAATAGCCATTCTGACTGGGTCAGATGCCGCATTGTGGTTTAATTTTCATTCTCTGATAATTAGTGATGTTGAGCATTCTTTTGATATACCTGTTTGCCATTTGTATGTTTTCTTTTGAAAAATGTCTATTTATGTCTCTCTCTCTTTTTTTTTTTTTTGATGGTTGTAAGTTATTTGAATTTTGAAAAATGTCTATTTATGTCTCTCTCTCTCTCTCTCTCTTTTTTTTTTTTTTTTGATGGTTGTAAGTTATTTGAGTTCCTGGTATGTTCTGGATATCACTTCCCTCTGAAATGAATATTTTGCAAATATTTTCTTCCATTCTTTGGATTTTCTTCCATTCTCTTTATTCTGTTGATTATTTATTTGCTGTGCACAAGTTTGTTAGTTTAAGTCCCAATTTTGTTTTTTTGCCTGTGCCTTTGAGGTCTGAGTCACAGTTGGTTTATTTGAGCCATGATTTGGCTTTGCTGGCCACGTCCCTTCCACTTCTGCGCTCTCTAGGACTCTCCGTGATGTCGACTTGTGGGAGAAGCTAAATCACTGCTCCTGCGGACAGCTTCGCTTTCTGCGTTTGTCTGATTATTGCCTGGTGACATTCTTCCTCCATTCTGCGTATTTTATGTTAACAGGTATTTAGAGCTGAAACTTGCCCAGATTCTGGCTTAAGTGTTTTGGCAAAAATCCTGTCTCTGGCCACCCTGAAGTGCTTCCTGAGTCACCCCCTTGGTGATGCTCATTGGCGAGTTTTTTCACGTCAACCTCCACTGAAGTTCTTTGTCTCCTGATTGTCATCCACTTTTTTTCTAGAGGTCTCCATGAGCACCATTTCTGAGGTTCTAGGGAGGAGGGTTCAGCTGAAAGGGCTCATTGGAAAGAGAGCCATGAAGTGCCCGTACTGTGATTTCTATTTCATGAAGAATGGCTCAGACCTTCAGCGGCATATCTGGGCTCATGAAGGTGAGTATTCATCTTTCCAAATGGAAAATTCTTTTCACTTTGTGCTTCCTTCATTTCTGCCGTGTCTTAGGAGGAGGCTATGCATTTGCGCCCCTGTGGTTAGGGCTCCTTTAGCACACTAAGGGGTGTGTCCATTTAGCAGCCAAGATCAGTGGTTGAAATCATTACTTAATTCGTGTCAGTTGCAATGAGTAGGGGTATTTGTTGCTTCATAGATCACACTGGAATTGCAGTGATAAATCACCACGACCTCTCTGCTAGAAAGCAAGTGTCATGAGAACAGGAAAACCAGTGTTGTATTCATGGCAGGAATGTGGGTGCTCACCACAGTGCTCCAGGTAGAGCAGGTATTCTAGAAGTGGAGGTGTTATGGATGAAAGAAGGAGAGGAAGGCGGCAAGGAGGCCTCTAAACCTACCAGTGTGGAGTCTTACTGTTACTGTGATAGAAAAGGAATTCAGAAGGTGGAAGGGTTGAGTGGTCAGGAAGGATGTAGGCTCTGCTTTTGGGGTGTTTGCATATGCAGATTAGGTGGGGGATAGTCACTCTGGTGACTGTGGGAAATTGGTAGATTTTTTTTTTTTATTAAATGATAGCTGTATACATTAATGCAAACATGGGGTACTGTGGGAAATTGGAAGTCAAGATTTTGTTAGAGATAGCAGGCAAGTAACTTCCCATTCTTCCCTTAGATAAGGATCTGGGGAATGAGGATAGGAGCCAAGGGGCCAGGAAAAGCTGCTTTTAGGCACCTGCATCAGGGCCCTGCCTGCTAGTCAGGAGCCTGGAGTGGTGTAGGGAGGAAAATAAACCTGGACAAGATAGAAGATGCAGAAAGGGATACAAATGCCTTCTTTAGAGGCCCCAGAGAAGGAACTCTTTGTAAGGGAGAGACTTTAGTTGTTCAGTAAAGAGAAAAGTAGCTGGTAGAATAGCAACCTGGAGAAGGCAGAAGTTGAGATCAAGTGCCAAGGTTAGAAGATACTTTTCTGCTTACAAGCATATATTGAACACTGGGTGCCAAGCAGTGTGCACAATGCTCTACCCAGGTTATCTGATTCACTATTTTCTAATAGCTTTAGAGGTAGGTCCTATTATCCCCATTTTACCAGTGAGCAAAATGAGGCTCAGAGAGGTTAAGTAATTTGCCTAAGGTCACACAGCTAATAAGTGGTGGACTTGAGATGGACCCATGCCACCTGGTTCCACAGCTCTTCTTCCTCACTCCTGCATTGATTTTCCTTGGAGGAAGCACTGGCCTCCTGTGCAGAGACAGGAGTAAAATGTGAGAGTGGTGACAGGTGATACACATGTATTGTTTCTTTGTCATGAAGTTGAGGCCATTTATAGCTGTTGGTTGCAGCTTTCTAAGCAGCGAATGCCCAAAGGACAGGTTGGGATGATGCTTGCGGGAGTCAGTGGGGAGGTGACCTGATGGAAGCAGAGAACCCCGCAGAGGCTGGAGACTAGACCGTGACTCATAAGGACATCAAACCTTGTAGTTATGCTCACCCCACATGAGCACAGGCTCTGGAATGAGAGAGAGCTGGGTTCAGATACGATGGGATGAGCAATCTCCTTTTTTTAACCCCAGTTTACTTACCTATAATATGAACTCCTGTGGGATTTGTTGTAAGGATCAAGGAGATAATTCATATAAAATCCTCAGTGGAAGTGTGACCCCCAATATTGGGTTCCTCATATGTGGCCAATGCTACTGTGTTAAGTCAGTTACAGTTGTGATGACGCATTCACATTGCAGATTTACCATTTGAAAGTCCTCTAAACAACTTCAGAATTCTGATAGTTCAGAGTGGCTCAGAAAGCAAAGGCTGCTGCTGCTTGTGTTCTTGCTGATCTGTGACTTTCTCTGAAAAGTCACAAGTGGAATCACAAAGGAAAAAAGTCTGTACTCACACTACAGTACTTGGCTTCTTTGAAATTGATCCCTGCACCCAAACTATCTCTTATCGCTGTTTACTCTCAAAATAAAACATAGGATGAGAAAAACAGAAATAAAAAATAAATAAAAGTGAACAAAGAGATAAAAGAGAGAAAACAAAAAAGTAAATAAAACCTAGGTAACGGCCATGGTCATAGGAATCCACCCAGTCCATCACTTGACCATTACGGGGCCTTGAAGAAACAAAGCTGTGGGTCCTCTGAGCAGCAAACGTCACATGAGTGCAGAGAGTCCCACACATATGGCCACTTGCTGTGACTGTGGCCGCCACCTGTGGTTTATTGGCTTTCCTCTTCCTTTTATATTTTTCTTTTCTCTTTTTTTTTATTTCTGTCTTTCTTATCCCATGTTTTATTTTGAGAGATAAGGGATAGTTTGGGTGTAGGGATCAATTTTAATAGTCATGGTAATTAACACATATGGACCTGTAGCTTTGTTCAAGGCTCTGTAATGGTCAAGTGGTGACCTAGGGCTGACCCACTACAGTGGCTCTAGATAGTGGCTCTTGGTGGATAAAAAGTGGGAACTTATAGCAGACAGTGTCTTGGTGCATCGCCGTGTGGGAGGCACAGTGCTGAGGTGGTCTGAGGTCTGCACAGCTGGTTTACTGGTCCGTCTAACTTGCCATTACCATGGGTGATGGTGAGCCCAGGGCCACGGGAGCTGATGAAGAGACTCTGGGGGGAAGACTCCTGAACCTCAATGCTCAGAATGAAAGGAGGGATGTTCTAGTTGAACAAGGGAAGAATTCAGTGCCAAAATGCCCTTCTAGTCTGAGTCATTGGCCAACAATCAGCTCTGTTGTTTTATGGGTATTATAAAATATGCTTCTACATCTGAACCTGGGTGCCTGGTCCCATTGGTGTTTGTAAAGGCCCTTGGTGCCTTTAATTTGTTCAGTTTAACTCAGTTCAGTTAATTTAATAACTGTCTGCACATTTCTCAGGATCTGTGTTCTCAAGGGGTTCCCAGACTGTGGGGAGAGGCAGGTGTGAATGACTCATTGTGCTGTGCACGGCACCTGCCAGCTAGTGAAGAGTCACAGCAGTTGGGAACACAGATTGGGAGGCAAGGACATCTCCTGGGAAGGTGAGGGAAAGCTGCAGGCTGGAGGCCCCAACAGACCCTGGAGGAAAGGGCATCCCAGTCGAGAGGAACAGCCCAGGGTGGGGGAATTGGGGTGTGTTAGGAGTAGAGTGCAGTGCTTTATTCAAAGCAGGTGCTTTGTGTATTCATAGCACATGTTCCTTGGGATTCATACACACATGTAAATACACATGCAGATATATATATGTTTTCCCCTGGCAGGTGTGAAACCCTTCAAGTGTACTTTGTGCGAATATGCCACTCGTAGCAAAAGTAACCTCAAGGCTCACATGAATCGTCACAGCACTGAGAAAACCCACCTATGTGACATGTGTGGCAAGAAATTCAAATCAAAAGGGACACTGAAAAGTCACAAGCTCCTTCACACAGCCGATGGTGAGTAAATGAGTCCAAAGTGAGTTTCCCACCCTACACGTGTGGTTTAAAGCTGCATTTCAAGTCCAGCAACAGCTGCTAATGTGTCTTTGAGAATGCACATTCTGAACAAGAGCGCGAGGACCCACACGCACGGCTGCGGTGGCACCTGCCTCCACACAGGTACTGAAAACACTGACTGTACATGCAGGTTTGTGTGCACACGTGTGGGGGCCACGGAGAGTACAGCAGCCTCAAGGAATGAGGCATCCTCAGTGCTCCCTGATTGCAGAGCTTCCAGTCCTCTCCAGCCCACCAGCCCAACCTGGAGCCCAAAGATCTTGAGGGCAGCCTGAATCACACCTGGCCTGATTTTCCAAGTGGATGCTTTTATCATTCCAAACTTCCCCAGTGTTTCTGTGTTCAGTCCAAAATGGGGCTAAGTTTAAAATACAACATTTGGGCAGATCTGACCTAGGTAAACTATCCATATGTAAGTGACTTCAGTCATTCATTAAAAACCATTGATTGAGGCCTTACACCTGCCAGCCGTGAAGAGAGGGTGAACTCCAAGTAGTCCATAACCTAGAAGGGAGGACTGAGGAGCAGGCAGGCATGTAAAGGCAAGTGCTGTGGTGGATCCCCAGGAAGTGGGTGTCTGTCCGGGGGGGTGGACACCATTGACACCACTGGGCAGTGGGCATAGTCACCCCAGACAGGCTGCATAGAAGGAGGGAAAGATTTGTTTGAGGAATACAGGCAGCTACACTAAAAACAAATCCTTTAAAATTTTTGATTTTTCTTAGACTAATTATGTGAGGGACTTGTGAATACCTCATGTAATGAGATTAATAAACTTTATTTATAAATAAATTATTTTAGCATGATAATATTTAAAATTGGAGTTCACTATAAAAATCAAAATTATTTCAGTGATGATTTTTAATTTTAGAACTTAGAGAATGATATGGATATTAAGTCCTACCTTTATTTTGAGAATGTTCTGGGAATCAGTCCTGCTGTGCATGCATTGGTCAGATCCTTGGCTAGAATTTGATTGAGATTGAGAGGCTCAGTTGAGAGGCTAAATACTTGGCTGAGACTCATCAGAAGCAAGGATCAAGGGCTTGCCTAAGGCTGAAGGAAAGGCAGAGCCATAAGTAGGAAAACTTAAGCAATACTCTCTTAAAAAAAAATAAGCAAAATTTAAAAAAAAGACAATGAAGCAGTCATACTTGAATAATACAGCATTAAAGTAATGTCATTATTCATGAATTTTACATCTCCACAGTCAACCTTCCTGATCTCTGAGCTGCCTGAACATTAAGCAGGAACTGCGTTTCTTGACATGATAGCACGTTACTCACTGAAGTCCTTCAGTAATGAAGAGCAGCTGTCCCCAGAGGCATAGAGGTCTAGAGTAGGCACTGGGTCATGGTGGCCAGGAGAGGATGGCAGTCACAGGGACTGGAAAGGGTGCTGTGGAATCATGCCTAGTCCTACAATCTGGACTCTGCTGAAAAGCTTCGAGCAGTTGGGATGCTGTCTAATCAGGATACCCTGGACCGATCAATATCCGATGTGAAGGTATAGGCTCAGTGTGGGTAGTGTCTTCGGACCACAGTGACACATTCAGTCTGTCTCAGTTGTCAATACATGTGATTCTCTGAGTTCTTCAGCAGGAAAGGGAATTCAGAAGAGCAAATATGTGCTGTGTTCAAAGCAGTAATACAACCTTCATAGAAGGGAATGGCCTCACAAACATGATGGAATATTTTCTAACAAAATGTGATAAATTTGCATTGTTTCTTGATACTGTTGGGAGGACGAGATATTTGTAAAATCATGTCTTAGTTTAACACTTAGCTATCTGGGAAGATGGGCATCAGCCATTAGATGCAATGAGAATACTGCTAGAACAGTAGCCAGCCTTGGCAGGCCAACTTCTTTTGATTCTTCGGCCTCAGTTTTATCCTTGAGATCTGTGTTAGACATATGCACAGGGAAAACTTGAGGGCAATTGGACTAGGAGTCTGGAATTCTAGAAAGAAGTCAAGGCTGCAGCTCTGTGCAAAATTAGGAGATGAGACTCGGGCATTTCTTGGGTCTCCTTTTAGCCTCAGTGCTCTGGGACTCTAGGAAGAAAGGGTAAAGGAGGGCTAAAGGTACAGAGATAAGAGGTACCTGTATAGCTTTGTCCTTTCCAAATCTGAGATGGTCACTTCCCCCCATGGATGCTGTGTTTCATTATTTGTGTTTCTGTTTTGATACTTACCATTGTCTCGTGTTTTCTTGAAGGCTGGCTTAGTAAATAGAGTGCTGGCTTGTAGACCAGTTGTACTAGCTCTCTTGCTGATCTAGGATATACCTTTACTCAGGCTAAGGGCTGTTCTTTTTTAAAATGCTGTTCTTTTTAAATTTTCCCCTAATAACTTATTTATTATAGAAACTTTGAGAAAAAAACTTCGTCATCTCTTTTTGTAGGTGCTCACATTTTATTTTGTTGATTTCTTAGAACTCCTGGGATGTTAATTGTTTATTGTATTTTGTAAATGTATTCCCCCAGTTTATCATTTGCCTTTATATTTTATTACAGTATCTTACTACATACAGAATTTAAGTTACTGCTTATTTAAAATTATCAACATATTCCTTTATGATTTTTATCATTCATGATTTCTCTTTGTTAAAAGATACTGTCATCATTTTGGGGGGAAATTTTTATACTTTTTTTTTTCAAGTTTTATCTTATGGTTTCATAATGTTTATGAAATTTAATATTATTAACATTTATTTTAGTTTATGGTATATGGTTGGAAATTTTACTGTTTCCAAATAATTATAACTTGACTCAGCTTACTTACAGAGAAATTGATCCTTTCAAATTTATTTTGAAGTGCCAGAATTTCCCAAGATACTGGATCTAGTTCTGAGATTTTGGTCTATTTCAGTGATTTTTGTTCCAGTATATTGTTTTTCAAGATACGTTTTAATAACTATAATTTTGTTATATACACATATGCTTTTCTATTTTCTTTTAATGAACATTATTTAGGTTTTCTCATTTAATTGTTGTTCCTTTGGATAAATTTTGGAATTTTCTAGTTAAGTTATGACAGATGTCTTCCCCTCCACCTCTAGGGATGAACTTGTGGCCTGTTTGACAGTGTTTGTGCCCTGCTTTGAGTTCACTGGGGAACCGTGCTCATAGTGATTGCTTGGTGGCCTTGGTAGCTCTCAGCCTTTACCCAGAAAATTAGCTTTTTATTAGAAGCAGCATTGCTTTAAAGGCTCCTGGAATTAATTGACATTAATTGTATTTACTGTCTCAGTAACAATTCAGTAGGTTGTCCTGTAGAGAGGCCATGTAGAACAGCTAGAGCTAGGAGGACCCAGTTGCAAGTCTGTCTGCCACTTCCTAGTAGGGTGGCTATGGTCAGATCACTTCTCTGGGCCTCAGTTTCCTCATCAGTAAAACGGGGCTGCTGAGTGGGTTTGAGGATCGGTGACAGGAAGTGAACCTTCTTCCCTGGCCTCCACTGCTCTGTGGGCTGCTCTTCCACCCCCTCTTCCGGTTCCGCCTTAGCTCTGCCATCTCAGCCCAGGGATACTTCCTTTATGTTTTCACAGCCTAGGTGATCTTTCCCATCCTATAGCTTTAAACACCACTTAGACCAGCGGTTCTCAACCTGTAGGTTGCAACCCACAGGAACTGCATGAAAGGACCACAGCATTAGGAAGGTTGAGAACCACTGACTGAGACTGAAAACCTCCAAACTTGTGTCTCTATCCCTGTGTCCTCCCCAAACCTAACTGCCCGCTCCCACCTGCACTTGGGCTTCTACACAGCCCCTCACACTCAGCGTGTTCAGCCCTGATCTGCCTACCGAAACCCCATCTCCCATGGTCCAGTGGTCACCAAACTGTAAAGAGATTGTAAGTGTTTTTGGCTATGAGCACCACATTTGTTTTCTGCCAAATGTATTTTTTTTCTTTTTTGTTTTGTTTTTACATACCTTGAAAATACATAAAAGCCACCCTTAATTCCAGGTTGAACAAAAACAAAAAGTAGGCAAGATAGCTTAGTTCAGGAAGCCTGGGTCTGTCTTGACTGGGCCACACCCCACACATGGTTCATTTGCAAACCTGAGTGTTCTCTCCTTAATGTGATCCAGAATCCTGCCACTTCTCAGCACCCTCACAGCATCTTCATTGGTATAAGCCATTGTCATCTCTAGCTTCCATTCTTGCAATAGCGTCCCAACTGCTCTTGTCCCCACAAGTCTATCCTCAACATGGCAGCCAGTGATTTGCAGAAACAAAGGTCAAGGCCCATCGCTCTTCTGTTCAGGACCCTCTGTGTGTCAGCATCATTCCCAGTCAAAGCCCAGCCCTCCCCGACAGCTCGTCGGAACCTCCCCCACCCATCTCCTCCTGCTCTCCCCTGCCCTCCTCGCTCCAGACATGTCCTTATTCTTGTTCCTCATCCCTGCCAGGCACAGGCTCATCTCGGGGTTTTTGCATCAGCCCTTCCTTCCATCTGGGATGTTCTTTCCTCCATGACTTAGTGGAAACCTCCATCACATCCTTCTGGCCTTTACTATAGAGTCACTTTCTGAGTGAGTCCTTCCCTGGGTGCTCTGTGTGTATAAAACCTCAACACCCCCGCCACTCCCTTGGGTTTCCTGTGTTTTGCACCTGGATGCATCATCCTCTGTTTTATAATTTCCTTATTTGTCTTTTTTGTTGTTGTTGTTTCTATCACTGGAACTCCTCCACCCCATACTTCACACTGTCTTCCATGTTATTAACTATCTCTCCTCGGTCCACCCTTTCTCCAGTGTACCATATAACTTCCTTCCTTAGGATTTCTGTGCCTTTCCTAGACTGGAAGCTTCTTAAGCAGAGATTTTTGACTGACCAATTGATTGTGTTTATTTTGTATCGTCAGCACCCAGAACAGGGGCCACCTTATTGTATATACTCCATAAATTTTTGTTGTTTGAATAAGTGAAAAAATG